AGATGATCAGCATTATCCACCTGAGTTGTTATGCTGTCTGAAGCTTTCTCATTAAGCCCAGGACTTCTCTTGACATTAGCCACTGTGTAGGATTCCCAATAAATCAAAGCTTAGTGGACAATGACCACTGGTTCAACAAAATCTAACTTTTACGGAATTGATATGATTGTTTGTTTTACTTATCCGCCTAAGAATTGATATGAAGGAATAATTAAGCTAAATTAATGATGCTGCATACATAGTGGCAGAATATATTATTACGGAATTGATATGATTGTTTTACTTAATCTAACTTTCTTTAATATTAATATTTTTTTTAATCATAGCAAACCAAGTGGATTAGAAAAGCCATATCATCATTCCAGCCCACAGAAACTAAAATCTGCTAATATTTCCTCGTTGAAAGACCATTAAATCATGCAGCTTCCTAATGAAGGGATTCTGAATTAAACATAAAAAAGCCAGAATAATTTGAGTGAATAATCTTCACCTGTGAATTACAAGATGTAAAGTTCTTGTTCTGATCATGAAATTAATACTCGAATCCGCTTATTCCATTTGCCCATTGTTATCCAATTCAATGTTTCCCACTTTCTCCAAATTAATTGAACTTTTTAGGAAAAAAATTTGGGGTATAATGCTATGCTTGGCTCACAACAAAGTTAAGGAAAAGAGAGAATTTGAGGAGCAGAGAAAATTGAAAAAAGAAAAACGTGAAGGGATGTCTCTTGATTGAGTTAGAGAAAATGAAAAGAAGAAAAATTATTAATTTCATATGGACAATAATAAATTTATTATTTATTGATAAATATTTATATATAGTAAATATTTTAACATATAATTTATATAATTTTTATTATATATTACTGATTCAATAAAAATATAAATGTAAAATATTTTATCTGATGCTAGCGAAAATTTATTGTCCAATTTTAAATTTTATTTCTTAAATTATTAAATATATAATAATCTAAATTTTAAAGTGGACGGGAAATTGGAATAAAAATGGAAGGTGGCAACATGCAAGAAACAAAAAAATTCAGGGATAAATTTGAAAATTGAGTTTTTTCTTCAAAATACTTCTATATTTGGAGATAAAAGTTGGAAGTAAAAGTACCTAGGTCTCACATGTTATTTTCTTTTCATTTTCATTTCTCTCTCATTTTTCTCTCATCAACCAAGCAAGAGAAAGTATCATTTTCTCCCTACTTTTCTCTTCCTTACTTTTCTCTCTAGCCAAGCACATCTAGAATTGGTATTGGTACATGCCAACCTGCAATAAAAGTAGTGGATTAGGTTGGAGAAAACAAATTTATTTAGATACGGGGTGATTTTGACCCGCATCGTATAACTTGAATTTGCAATAGGCGCTCATATCTTTTTTTTTTTTAATTTTCAATCTTATTTGAAAATAATTTGCTTTTCCATGTGTCTTGAGCTTGGGAAAGAATTCTTATTCCAAAAAAAATACTCCTTCCATTAAAAAATGTAAAACATTTTTTAAAAATTTGATATTCAAAAATATGACGCATGCATTTTTAATCTTTTAAGTTATAATAATTACCTTTTTCTTTAAATGTCCTTGTTGAATATATTACTTTATATTTTTTTAGGGTGAAAGATAAATATAAAAAAATATGGTTAGTTTGAAGATAAGTAACTACTTTATTGAAAGTGAGATTCAGGTAAAAATATCATATATTTTTGAATGAAAAGAATATACATGTATGATAGTAAAACATCTGAAAACAAGTTAACAGAGAGCTTACTGTATTGTTTTTGGTTTTATGCTCCAAATCCAATATCTTCCAAGGTCATCATTATTTTCTCTCCTTTTGATCATAATTCATGACAAAATTTATCTTCCTTCCCCCGCTTTTTTTTTTTTTTTGTGGTAACCTGGGCATTTTGTCATGGAGTGTTATGGAACCTGCTATGTTATTAATTTTTCCATTGCAAAATTTATCTTTAAGCTTTGGATTGTAATTTCAACTTTTTCATATGTTTGTTTGTGATGGAGTATATATTTATTTTGGATTAAATTAATATATTTTAAATTTGTATTGTGTTTTTTTATAATTTAAAAGGATTTTTATTGTTATTTGGATAATTAACTTTTAGGGAAGAAAATATGATTTCTTTTACCACAAAAAAGAGGTGAATTTGTAATTTTAAAATTTAAAAAATTATAAAAAAATATGTGCCAACCCGTCAACCTATATAACTCGTCAAGATGCAAGTTATGTCTTGCCAACTTACAACTCATGAGCTGGCCCATAATATCAACTCTATTGCACATTATAAGTGTTTTGTCCCAATCTAAATTTGCTGGCTTGCGAATTTGGGCTAATGGGTCATAAACAGCTAATTTTGAGTTCTCATCATGTTATTAGGCTTTATAATCATGGACTACTTATGCATGGCATCTTCACTTGTTAGGCCTAAAGGCCACAAGCCTCTTGCAGAAAAATACGATGGATTTTTTCATTTTGTGTCAGTTTTTCGTTGCAAATCTGCCACAGAAAAAGTTTAGCGGCACATTTTCATCCATCACAAATTCTTGTCATAAACCCGTCATAACTTTTCTGTTTTTTTTTTTTATGGCGACAGATGTATACATGCACAAAACTATTTTTCTTAAAAAAATATTTTTTTTGGACAATGAAACTTTTTTTACCATGATTATTTATTTTCTGTGAACAGAAACTTGTGTGGAGGGACGAAGCCACATGTATACTTTTGCCCCTTTATGTGTGAATTAAGGGCTAAACCTGGGTTGACACCCCTCAAATGTTCATCCCAATTAAGAGAACATTACATTCTGGTAAGGGAATTAATTATTAGTAGGTACCTTCAAATTTAGCTATTATTAATAGATCTACATGATAAATTGTAAACCTTTCAATAATTTGATTCGCAAATACAAGAGAAGGACTCATGCAAGATTTTTTCATCTTGTAATGATTTATATTTGATAGTCAAATGGAGAAATCTTTAACTTATCTTATCAAAGATTCTTTAGGATATTTATTAGTAATAACTTAATTTTAATTCAAGAGACCTATTAGTACATAATTTTTGTGGTCTAAGAATTTTTTTTACTACAATTTTCCTTTTTTTCAAGTGGCAGCCATGAAACTTATATTTCGAAGAATCTGAATCCTATTTAAGGATTGTCCTTTTTTAAGATATACTCTCTATACATATCTTCAGAAATTGAATTTTGAAAAATTTTCCTTTACTCAAGGGATGAAGCCAACAAAATCTTGGTGATGCAAGCCCATTTTTGTCATTGTGTTAAATATCAGGCCCATTTTTAGTAAACCCAATTGAAACTCCCCGCCAAAATCATATGCTGTGTCTGTCTCCAACTTGAGATGATTAAGCACGCAAATACGAAGTTTTCAACAAATGATGGAGTTTGTCGGCGGATTTTGCTAAATTTTCGTAATATCCCATCGATCATTTCCTACGACGTTACAATCATATTTGTCCTCAATAACTTCTATTTTTTAATGGATTAAAGTATACTTTTAATTGTTTAACTTTATGTAAAGTTTCAGTTTAGTCTTTTAATCCTTTAACTGAACACTTTTAATTTTAAATAATTATTATGTGTTAATCATTGTTATTTTTAAAACATTAAATTTATTATGTCAATATTTAAAAATTTATTGTATAAATTTTTTGTTGATAAATTTAACATGTATTAGGATTATAGGATTGGAAGAACACTTTATAAAATTAAGTGACCAAAATAAAATCTTATATAAAATTAAATGACTAAATATATACTTTAATCTTTTTAATAAGAACTTTGTGAAACTGAAAATGGATGGATCAAGCTCAAGGAAGATAGAAAAGGAAGTAATTAATGTTGGGAGTAAATTAATTTTTATGTCATTGTTCAAATTCAACTTCTTTTATGTATAACAATAAAATAATGCAAAATCAATTTACAATAATAGAAAATTAATGTGATGCATGATAAAAATGTGACTAACTTAAATAGAATAGGAAATTAAAAATTCCAACGTGGCATTTGGATTTGAATTTTTTTTGAATCTGACATTTAAAATTATTTTATTTGAGTTGTGTAAAAAAATTTAAAGGAAAATGAGATTTAAAACAAGAACAGAAGATTAAGAATAACGGATTTATTTCTACTTTCCAATGAGTGATGAGAAATGAGAATAAGAGATGAGAAAATAAATAATAATAGCACTGATAACATTGATGAATTTTTTGAAAAGAACAAGAGAGTTAGGACTTAGAGAGGGGTAGAATTTCAAATAAGTAGGGTAGAGAAATTAAAATTATTTGTATAGAAAATTTAAAATTATAAATAATTTATAATAAAAATATATTTGAATTTGAATCAAATCTAAGTTCATAGATTTTTCATGTATTCAAATTATATATTTGACCCAAATTTAAATTCAAATTCAAATTCCCATTAATCCAAGTCCAACATAAATTATAAATTTAAATCAATGGCAATCAAATCAACTTTAATTTAATTTGTGAAAATAAAAAATAAAAAAAATGATGCCTTATATTACAAAATATTTCATTTATTTTAAATTATAAGACACTTTTAAAATGTGAGAAGATTAATATTTTATTAAATAGATTTATTCTAATGTAACCCTTTCTCTCTTTTTACTCCTTTCTCTCATCATCCCTCTCTTCTTAATATATATTAAATGAATGGTATTTTAAAAAAATTTATTTTTATTTGGAACAAGAGATTTTGTACAAAAATATCTTATAATTTAGGGAGAAGGCTGATACTGGATTTAAATTATTCAATAGATAAAATTGAGTAATCTGAGCCATAATTAACTAGATTCCCGCTTCCAATTACGTGAATTATATAGAGTCTTCAGCCTTGTTTAATCAATTTATTCTCTATTCTGTCTATTCTTGGGTCCTGCTGAACCTACCCTGTTTATGTCAAATGCTTCCAGTCTCTTCTGTGTTCAACTAGTATGACAACCATGAACGTCCTCTCAACCCGAAATCCTTTATTTACTCTGCTCGCCATCTTCATCGTTTTCCGCTTTCCTGTGATCACCAATGCACAGTCAGATTCAGCTTCCTTCATATACCCTTCCAGTCTCATTAACCTCCAAGACATAGGCTTTTCCGGTGACGCGACGTCTTCTGGCGACACTTTACACCTCACAAGAAGAGACGAACATGGCAACCCACTCCCCCACAGAGCCGGCCGCGCCGTCTATTCCCAACCGGTGCATATCTGGGATGCCGCCACCGGTGATCTCGCGGACTTCACCACCATCTTCTGCTTCTCCGTGAACCGAAGCGATTCAGTGCTTCACGGAGATGGGTTTGCATTCTTCATGGCTCCACTCGACTCTGCCATCCCCAACAACTCTACGGGTGGGCTCCTCGGGCTTTATATCCCAGAAACTGCTATGGAAGATAACATTAATGCTTCTTCTCATTCTGAACCCCAAGTTGTGGCTGTGGAGTTTGATAGCTTCGCAAACGAATGGGATCCGAATCCGTTTTCTGAGTTCCCTCATGTAGGAATCAACGTGAACTCTGTTAGGTCGGAGACAACAGTGGGGTGGCCAATCACTTACTTTGAGCCACACAGGGCAATTGTGAGGGCTCGAGTAAGATATGATTCTGGAGAGAAAGAATTGTTGGTGATGGTGAGTTATCCTGGTAATGATAATGCTGATGCTGATGTTTGCCTCAGTCACGTAGTTGACTTGAGAAGTGTTGTGCCGGAATGGGTCATGGTTGGTTTCTCCGGTTCAACTGGTGATTTGGTTGAAGCAAATGACATTCTTTTTTGGTCATTTAAATCATCCTTGAGGAAAACCACTTTGAAGGAGGAGAATTGATTGGATAATGTCGGATCAATTTAATCAATGAAAGACGACAAAAAGATGTATAATATTAATTTGTTGCTCAAATCAAAGTTATTGTAAATCTCAAATTCAATCTCAAATTACTTAGTTTCAACCAGGATTAGTTTTTTACTGTGGAATTTCCTCTTATATTCACTCAACTCTAGATCCCTTCGATCTATTATGTGCTTCAGCTTAGTTTCTAATATCTGCTTACCTTGTTGTTGCGCCTCAAATGCTTATAACTCATCATTATATTATATTTGTTCATCACTATTCTTGCTGACCCAGTTATGAGTCAATACTATTTAATTTTGTCATGAAATTTGTAACATTCATGATTGAGATTTTTAGGAGATGTTGGTTATTAGCCGAGTTAGCAATTTTTAACTTTTTTAAGAAAACTTTATTTATAATAAAAAATTTCGCTCGTTGTTATCTATGAATTTTGTTTGCCCCAGAGGGTTCCCTGACTTTCAATTTGTGGGTCATCTTTTATTTTATTATTTCCTCTTCGCTATTCATTTCTTTTAATTAATTTTCAATTGTGTTTCTTTTTGAATCCACTTATTTAATTTTTCTGCAATGAATTTCATCGGTTCCCCTTGCTACATCAAAGTAGCAATGTTTAATTTCACGACTAGGTAGACTCAAAATATATGTGACCCGCTCAAGTAGAGGTGTTAAACCAGCAGTTTGGTAAACTCGGATCGGCATACTGGTTGGTCTCATAGACTAGGTCAAGATAGAGGCTTTGGTATATATTATTATAAATTTTTATGAACATTAGCTAATAAATTAATTTTATTAGTATCATGAAAACTTTTTATAATGTATTTTCATTTTATATAAATTTTTAAATTGATTTCTCTTAACTTAATACTCCCTTCAATCTTAAATATTGATCACCATTACGTACTTCATTAAGATTAAGAAAAATAGTTCAATTAATTAAAATTGTCACAAATTAATATTGTTTTTTCAAAAGTGCCCCCATTTAATGATTAAAATGATGCTATTAAATTAATAATATTTTTTATAAACATAAATTAATAATCTTTAATAAAGTTGAACAATATCTCTTATTTCAAAATATAAAATTAATAGCAGAGTGCGTAGTTATTGAAGGCATTATTGGAACAAAAAAAGTATTGCTTCAGACATTTAGATAAGTGACTTATAATTTGGACAATGTAAATATTTTTTCTCATGTCTTATTAGGATACTGGAGAGAGTATTAGGTAAATATACCAATTATTGAATTTTATTTTAAAAATGTAATTTTGATTATATTTTTTTAAGTTTGTTAACAAATAAATTAATTTATTATTTTTAAAAATTTTTAAATAAATTCCTCACTATTTTCCTTGCAAAATAAATATATTGTGGTGTTAGAAGAAAACGGGATCATATTATTTTCTAAATGATGATATAATTTCACGATATTTGTTGACGGCGTACAATAGTGTGTGTGAATGGCGTACAATATAATTTCACCATATGCAAAATAAGAATTCGAAGGTTGTTAACCTCGGAAATTTGTAATTCTGTTACAAATAAATTTATAGGAATGTATATTTAATTATTTATTTGACGTGCTCAACTGCTCGTAATAAGCCAGTGGACAGTGCCACATCAGGTGTCACAATGTAAAGCTCCGGCCGAGGGACGGACTAAATTAGCGTATATTGACAAGCATTTTGCCGAATGAGAAGTCAGATTTTCATTGTTTTGATCACTCTTACGGAATCCGAACCGAACCCACCATTTGGCTTCTACGCATGAACTGATATTAATCTTCATGGCTGGCCAAACTCTGTCTATATATACCTCCCACACCTCACCGTTCTTCTGCACACCTCTCAATCATAACACAACAATGGCCATCTCCAACTCCTTCTCTGCTCTCACTGTCCTTCTCGTTTCCTTCCTCGTTCTGTCTCCTCACCATGTGAACTCACTTTCCTTCAGATTCCGCTCTTTCCACTCTTATGATCACAATGTCATAACCTTCCAAGGCGATGCCTTCGCATCTCACGGCCACCTCCAACTCACCAAGACCATCCATGGCGTCCCACAACCCAACAGTGCCGGCCAAGCCTCCTATTCAGCTCCGGTTCGCCTCTGGGACGCCAAAACCGGCAAGCTCGCCGCCTTCACCACCTCCTTCTCCTTCATCGTCTCACCTTCTTCTTCTTCTTATTCCAGTCTCTTCGGAGATGGAATCTCCTTCTTCATTGCTCCCTTCAGTTCTGGCATACCTTCAAACTCAACCGGGGGATTCCTCGGACTCTTTAGTGAACCCACTGCTTTGAATTCTTACGCTAACAGAATTGTTGCCGTCGAGTTTGACACTTTCGGTAATCCTTGGGACCCAAAATCTGCTCATGTAGGAGTCGATGTAAACTCCATTGCATCGGTGAAAACAGTTTCTTGGAATGTTGAGAAAGGGTTAACGGGAATCGCTACCATAAGCTATGATCCATCTGAGAAGATCTTAAGTGTTTATGTGAGGTACCCTGAAAGCAAAGTGAAACGGAGTGAAAGTAGACTCTCAGTTAACATTGATCTGAGGACTGTTATGCCGGAATGGGTTAGAGTCGGGTTCTCCGGCGCCACCGGAGAGGTGGTTGAGCTTCACCAAATTCTTGCTTGGGATTTCATCAGTTCAGACTTTTATTGATGCGTATTGGCATTATTGGCTCTCTCAATATAAGGAGCCGGAGATTTTTAGTTGGGTGGTCAAAATAAAATAAAGTCGTGTTGAACTGTTTGGAGATTATTAATTCATTAGTTTAAGTAATATGCGAGGTCTAAATAATGCCTTTTGTGTGTATTCTTTAATTATTGATTATCGTTGAGAATGGAATTTGATTTTGTTTATGTCTTAGCCATGCTCAGACCTTTTTCAGCACAATTTATGAAGGGTTAGAAAAAGTTTGCTCTTCTAATTCTATTTATAAATTATTTTTAATATATTTTATCAGAATTAAAAACCTTTAAAATTCATTAAGCCTTTTTATAAATTTACTAATTTTATAAATTTATTTTTATTAAATATATATATATATATATACTTTAATAACATATTTTTCTTTTTCAAGATTCAATAGGGAGTAAATGGAGAAATTTGTGATGAAAATTTAATAAGATGACTTATAGATAAGACCAAAAAAATTTTCCTTTCTATCTTATAAATAAAATTAGAGGGAATATTTTTAGAAGAGGTTCAAGCATGATAAAATGATATTTAATATCGTTATGAAAATATTAATTACAGTGGATGAACATAAATACTAAAATTATTAAAAATTAAATAATGAATATTAAAAATATAAAAGATAAGTATTAAAAAATTAATTTATTTTTTTAATTCCTGTTAAGAATTATGATCCTTTTAAAAGTTCAAAATTTGACCATCTTTAACTGTTTTGAGAGTTCTTAAATATCACTGTCTTTTAATTAAACCTTTGTGTTAAAAGAAGAAGAATTACCTATAACAATATTCAAAGCGATATAATTATCAAATGGTGCCTTTTTATCCAATTTTGTATTTGATAGATGTGCTTTAGCGCTTAAATTTTAAAATTTTAAGAGTAAAATATTCTGAAATCTTTTCTATTTTACCTCAATTACATGTACTCCTTTTTTATTTTTGAACTTCCCATGATATGGATAGTTACAAAATAAAAACATACCTTTATTTTTAATATTTTATTTCTATCTATTCAACCATTAATTGACCGTTAAATGACATAAGTTTGACCAAAATATCTCCCTTTAAATATATATTATATAAAAATAATTCAAATTACCCAAAAAAATTACTGGATAATTTTTTTTTACTTTTCATTTATATTTTAAATGTTTTATTATGTAAATGTATTTATTTTGAAATTTTAAAAAAATAAATACATAAATTGGTTAAAATAATATTTATAATAACCTCAATATAATTAATTTTTTAATTTCATTAATTTTCATATAAAATTTTTAAATTATTTATTTAAATATTGAAAATCTTAATTATTTAAAGTTTTTTTTTTTTAAATTGGGAGAGTGAGGTTAGACAATTGAATCTTTAACAGAATATTCTTAACGGGGTTAAAGATTGAATTAAAGTGTACGTTTTGAAAATATAAGGGAGGACTGTATAATTTTTGTAAAATGAAAGGAAATTCATTCTATTTTACTCAAAATTTAAACCATCGGAATTGATATGGCTCTCCTGGCTGGCTAGTCATTTTACATCTATATTCTGAATTGGCGTTGGAAAGTGATGTATAATTACGTCTTACAGATATCTTAATTATTTTCTTAGCAGAAGCCAATTTCAAAAGGATTTTTTTTTTACGTATCCTTTTTAATATACCCGCATTTTAATTTGTGGTGTATATAAAAATAAGTTATATGACGTATCTTTGATTTTGAGTTTTTTTAATAAAAATATGATATGTTGGAAAATATTAGTTTTCTTCAACACGGTCAACCTTAATTACATATTGTTTGATTCGTTATTAGTAAACATTTCAATTATTTTCTTCATGAAGTAGTCACTTCAATTGGTCGTAATTCTAATTTCTGCATGCAATTGTGATTCTCTTTAATTTCCATACTTAATAAGAATTTTAAGTTTTGTGAGATTTTAGATTTAACTCTGTGGATTTAGAAAACAATTTTGGAAAAACTACCTCCAATTGGATCCAACAATACTCAAATATGACTAAGTTAGATATCCACGTGTTAAAAGAATTTGAATTTTTACTAATTTTATAAAATAGTATGCAAAGTATTGTATATATTTTTAAAGGGGGACTGTTAATTAGTGACAATACCAGATATTTTATAAGAAAAGTGATAATTAAGGGCCCCATAAGACTATTAATTACAATTTAAAACTTTGAATTATTAAAATCTCAGTAATGAATCATGGCCTTTACTTGAAATTAAAAACATATATGAATTTATAAAATTACCTTCAAGTACCGAAATTATTATTATGGGTTGAGATTATTTCAACTAAGAAAATCAGGATTCACATTTGAAAATGAAATCAATAATAGTTCTAACCCATAATGGTAATTCTAGTAGTCTCAACTCATAACACTTGGGATCCTAGTTTTTTCAATTGATAATAATGAACCATGGTCCTTATTAGAAATTAAAAACATATATGAATTTAAAAAATTGCCCTCAAGTGTTGAAATTATTATTATGGGTTAGGATTATTTTAATTGGCAAAACCAAGATCCATATTTGGAAATGAGATTAATAGTTGTTCTAACCCATAATAATAATTCTAATAGTCCCTTGGGATCTTAGTTTTTTCAATTGATAATAATTACAGTATTATATTTTCTTGATTTTTTAAGTTTATTGATAAGTATACAAATTCACAAGTAATTAGCTTCATATTTAGAAGTCACTTTGATGCATTTTCAAGTAACTATCATATATTTATTAGCGCCTTTTGAAAGTTTTGCAAGTAAATTTAAGCTTCATAATAGGAAACAACTTATTCTCAAGTGTAGATTCTAACTTTCCTAAATAAGATTAACAATATCCCAATCCATCATAGTAATTTTAATAGTGTCTTTTTCTTATTTTTCAAGTGAGAGTAATTTGGTAAACTCATATATATTTTAAATTTTAAGTAAGAATCATGATTTATTATTGGGATTTTAATAACCTGAGTGCCCCTTATTGTAATTAATGGTCCTATGGGTCCTTAATTGCCATTTTCCCTATTTTCTATGTTTGATACGTCTAGATTAGGTGGGTGGCATGCATTTGTATGCTAGTTATATCACTATATATAAATCAAAGCCAATCCGGACTAATTAACTTGTAGCTTTTAACTTCATGCGTTTGCATTGTATCGCATGTCCAAGGCCAAGCAAGTTGGGGATAAGAAACATTTAATTAATCCTGCCGCATATAATCAAAATTTAAAAAGGTTTCTGCATGAAAAGTCAGAGCTAATTCATTGTTTTGATCACCCTTCCCAAGTTCAAAACCATTTGGCTTCTCGCTATGATTTGATCTTATTTTAGCATAAATTGGCTGGCTAAAACCACCGTATATGTTTTGTACCTATATATAGCTCCATTCTATGCCCTTCGAACCCACCTCTCTCAACACAATAATCATGGCGGCAGTGATCTTCAACACCATCTCTCTCAGTCTCACCGTCCTCATTTCCCTTCTTCTGTCTCACAATGTGAACTCACTTTCCTTCGACTTCCCAACTTTCGATTCTTATAACAATGCCATCAGCTTCCAGGGTGATGCCTTTGCATCTCAGGGCTTCCTCCAGCTCACCAAGACAATCAATGGCGTCCCACAGCCCAACAGTGCCGGCCGAGCTTCATATTCAGCACCGGTTCACCTCTGGGACGCCAAAACCGGCAAGCTCGCCGCCTTCACCACTTCCTTCTCCTTCATGCTCTCACCTTCTTCTTCTTCTTATCCCAGTCTCTTCGGAGATGGAATCTCCTTCTTCATTGCCCCCTTCAATTCTCACATCCCTTCAAACTCCAGTGGTGGATTTCTCGGACTATTCAGTGAACCCACTGCTTTGAATTCCTACGCTAACAGAATTGTTGCTGTTGAATTTGACACTTTCGGGAATCCTTGGGACCCAACATCATCTGGTCATATAGGAATCGATGTGAACTCCATTGCCTCTGTGAAAACAGTATCCTGGAATGCTGAGAAAGGGTTAACGGGAATTGCCACTATAAGCTATGACCCAGACGTGAAAAGTTTAAATGTTTATGTGAGGTACCCTACGGAAAGCAAAGTGAATAGGACTAGCAGTAGTACTAGCCTCATGTTTGTGGTTGATCTCAGGACTCTTCTGCCTGAATGGGTTAGGGTTGGCTTCTCTGGCGCCACTGGCCACTTGGTTGAGCTTCACAAAATTCTTTCTTGGGATTTCGTCAGTTCGAACTTTTATTAACTAAAACATTACAGCACTAGCTAGGAATTTGTGATACTCATCATGTGCTGTTGGAGCTCAAAATAACATGATGATTCTTCAAGTGGTTTGAGGGTTAATTTGTTTAATGTGATTATGTTTGTACTTGTATTGATTAGTTTCTGATTTCTTGATTTCGAATAACTCTAAAGCCTCTATGTATGCTTGCATCTCTGATTATCAATAACAGTTTGTTTTTCAGTGTGCTTTTTCCCCCGGTTAAATAGGTGAGACTTAATACCCCCTATTGTTAGTGTTAGGCATAATAATAATACATTTTTATTTTCAAGAAAAATATTAATTTTTTATTTTTTGTCCTACTTGAAGTTTTTTTTCCTTTTTTTTATTAATATTATTGTTATCACGTTTTGATAAATTAAACTTATCTCTTCTTCACAATCTTTATATATGTAAAGGAAATAAAATACAACTTAACTGAATAACTTGATATATCAATTATATATAAAAACTTATTTGCATTTCATTTTTTTTTTTGATAGCACAAGGAATATAGATTCCTTTGGCAGTAGAGATTATCTTTCCCAAAGTATGGAAGGCAAATGATATACCTTTTCTAACTAAATTACTACATATATGAGGACAGAAATTAGAACTCCCAATAATTTGTTTAAGTAATAAAAAGCCTTACCACTCAGATAATTTTAGTTGGCTCTATTTGCATTTCTTTGTAAGGTTATTGTAGTACTTGGTAATTAAAACATAGAAAATTTACAAGTTATTCACCAGGAGTTTTGGACTTAATTAGGTGGCATGCATATACATTTGGACAATTGATCGATGTTAACACAAAAAAAAAAAAAAAAATTCCTAGAGATTCTATGGCCTCTACCGATTCACTATTGGTAATTGAATTTGGCTTACATTGGAGTTTGTCTAATGCTCTTGTTTCAGATATTTCGTCCTAATATACGTGTGCATACATGCATACATATATCTGTGCGTGCGTGAGATACATTTGGATGAGATATATGTATGTACGTGTTTGTGTGTGTGTGTGTGTGTGTGTGTGTAAGCTGGAAATTTGATGCAAAAATTTGAACATTTTTTTAAGATAAATAAGGTGAGGATGGATTAAGGTGGCGGTTTATTTGGTAGTGTTTGCTATGACCGTCAAATAGTTATTCATTAGTATATTAACAAAAGATAATGTTGAGTCACTGGAATTGAAGAAGATGATGAAATTCCTTATTTCACAACCAAATTAGCATTATCGTAGGCAATAAACTCAGAATTTTGGACATTAATGGACACTTTTCAATCATTGTTAATTGAATCCAAGGTGACTATATTAATTCTAATTTTGTAGACCCCAAAAATGTGAAGATAAATCAGGCAAAAAAAAAAAGATATGAAGATAAAGTTAGAAAGACGAGTCAATCAAATCAAAAGCATTCACCTCAGCACAATATCAGCCCAACGTAATCTCCACTCCCAAGACGTATTCTTAACTAGATGCTCTTCAATAATTAATTTTTGCATAACATTTAAGAAAATATTAATTCTTTCATTTTAGAAAACCAGAATCTTTCTGTGCAGATTATTAACAGTTGAAGAAGATAGATTTCTAAGGAGGCTAAATTGTTTTTCTTTGCAGATTCATTCTGCATAATCAATATATTAGGGTGGAAGAGAAGGAGATTTTGTGGTGGAGAAAAGATCATCTTGAAGGGTTTCATTCAATGTGTGGACTTCTTGCAAAATGTGATAGTCAAGTACAAGATTCTGTCATGAGATTATTATATTTTTTTTAGTTAAATGGTAATATAGACCTTGAACTATAAGCTCAAGAGCGATTTGAACTCTAAACTTGTTGTTGGTGCATTTGGACCTCTAACAATCATATTTAGAACAATTTCCCCCTACTGTCAATGTAGAGCAAACATATGCAGCGGGGCACTAGGCCCCAAATGTGTACTCTCCTCATCTAACCTCTCCTCTCCCTCTCCCTCTCCCTCTCTCTCTCATCACTTGTTGCTTTTCCAAGTACTACATTGCATAATATGGAAAAAATAAAGTTGTAATACCTGTAGTGTTCTCGTGACGGTGGGATCTACAATGAATGTTAGCTAACACCCCCACTGCTTGAAAAATAATGGACAAGAGTTCTATATGTCTATTGAACTCATCGATGATCCACGTATCCTTGTCTCTATTGTGAACCATTGGCTCTAGCTTGACAAGTTAGGGGAGACAGGTTTGAACTAATCGGTCATCATTCTTCTCAAGAAGCTTGACTTGGATAGGGTTCCCATCATTGTCCAGAATCTGTGTTCCAGTGAATATTAGCAGAGAAAGCCTCTTGCTGGGCATTAGCTAATATCCCATATTGATAACTCTCGAGAAGTCTTATAAAGAAGATGAATATATAATTAATGACTTACAACTTGTTTAAACAAATGTTTTAAAGCAAAGAAAAGGTTCTACATGTTCTTCACTATATCCATTTCTCCAATTATCCTGTCAAGCATGTGGAACTAATTATCAGAGTGAGAGAGTAATAACAAGCTTTTTCAAACTAAATGAATTAAAATGAAGGTGCACATATGAAGCAAACGAAGGCCAAGTGGTCTCATGTGCTTGTCTCTATCGTTGTCTAGGTTAGGATCAGAATCATCAAATAAGAATCGTTTGGTTTGCCATTTTCAAGAATGATTTGGCAGATACCCGCCACTGCTTGAATGGAGTGAGAAACAGATATAAAGAGAGAGCGAGAGAGTGGAAGAGGAGAATACACATATAAGCCACTTGAAAACTAATGGATGTTTGCTCTACATTGATGGTAGGGGAAATTGCTCTAAATATGATTGTTTAGGGATCAAAATGTATAAAAAATGAGTGTAGAGTTTAAATAGCTCTTGGACCTATAGCTCAAGGTTCATGTTGCCATTTAACCCATTTTTCTTAATCAATATAAAGTTTATTATACCCTAGATTTGTAGACCCAATAATAAGCCTTGAATGCTTGTGTTGTGTTACTTTATATTTCTGGTATAAGCCTTTTGGAGTACTAGCATTTGACAAACAGGGGGGGTGTCCTCACAAATTGGTTGTTTCTTTATTGAGTTCAAATAGCCTTATTCTCTTTGTCCTGTTCAATAGGTTTGAGGGGTTTGGAGATGCTTTCTAATTTAATAACTTTCATTGAAAGTATAGAAAGTGCATGAGATATAGAAAGTACTGGTGTTATGGGATTTTCATGGAAGGACATAAAGAAAAACTATCCTCAAACAAAATGCTGGAATATGAAAATTCTGTAATGTATTATAGAATGAAAATCATACAGGAAATGCTTGTATTGCAAACCATGATGAAGAAAACAAAAGTTGACCATAATATCCAAAAAAGGATATCAAACAGACAAACAACAACCAATATAGTTCGTGGCTTAAGTACAGTTTAATTCTGTTCAAAATATAAGTGAAATAATAGATCATAAATTCTAGCTAGGAAAGAAAAAACGATAAATCATATCATGAAAAAAAATTTTATTGCAATTAAGTTTATTTAAACATATATTACCTGTTAACATATCCTTGAGACATTAAGGGCAGGGAGATGTGTTTGCTCTGAAGTTTTGAGAACAACAGTATTGCCAACTTCCTATCAGTGTTGAGAAGAGGGAAATTCTAAAGAATAATTTGAATTGCTATTCCAATGGGTTGTGTAATAACCCATAAATTTAAAAAAAAAAATTAGATATATTATTGTATTTAAAATTATAATTATATTAATTTTGGGATAATTATGACGAGGAAGAGTGTTGGTTCAGTAGAAATGTGCATATAGCAAACTCTGATGAGGTCAAAAGAGTTTTTTTATTTCCTGCATTTTTTTCTTCATGAATTTACCAAATTGCCCTCCTTTCAAAATATGAATTACCTCTTCCCTTCTTCGATCATTCCAGACGTGAGAGAGCGACAGAGGTGCTCTGTTTTTTCCCTTTGTTCTTTCGTTATTCCTCTGGGTCTTCACGTCCTGTTCCATTTCTGCCACCTCTGACCACCATCCTTCAACACGCCATCGATGGGAGTAGGAACTCTTCTTGCCGCTACTGTGACATCACTGAGATCTCTTTGTTCTCTCCTGCTCTGTGTTTTCCGTGAACCACTGTATTGTGGCAAAAATCGTGAGTTCTTCTCTTCCTTATTCATCCATAAGTTTCGTCTTCTTCTCTGCTTCAGGAACTGTAGCAGAAGAATCAGACATTTCTCTCCACTTATTTATCTACTCTGTTGTTGCTGTGTAGCGTGAAGCTTTGAGCTGTTCTTCAGTTTGAAATTCTGTGTGTGTGTGGATGTGTTAGAAATTTAAAGCTGTGCGTATGAATAACTAATGGTTGAAGCTGCAATTTTTATATTGTTTTCCTGGAAATCTGCTGCTGGCCGTGCCATGTAGGGAAAAAGGTATGGAGATTAAGCTATATATTTATATTAAATTTGATATAATATATATATATATATATATTTGGATTTATTTGAAATGAGTAGCTTTCATCTTTTGTTCTTTCTCTTGATTGATCTGTGAGTGTGAGGTATAATGTAACGGAAATTGCAAGTGTTTTTTTTTTTTTTAAGGCTTGCTGCTGTCCGTGATTGTTGAGGGAAGGGAAGAATGGAATTAAACTGAAATTTATGTATTAAAAGTATGAATTATGATAAGCATGGTCAGAGTGTTTGAGTCAACTAAATTTTGTTTGAATTGAATGATGTTAAAAAAAAAATTGGTTTGGATGAGTTTGAGATAGGAGGACAAAAAAAACTTGGACATGAAATTTGGAGGTTAGTGCCTATAAGATGTTTGTTAAAATGCTTGTGAGAGGGAATTGTTTGATTGTGCATTTACTAAAATTTCATTAAATTCCATGGAAGACATAATCGGTGAGGATGTTATGATCTTGTAAATTTAACTTGAAAATGGTAAAAGAAGGTGTTTAAGTGGGTATTTTTCTATAATTTTGTTGG